TGTATTTTCATTTGGTGCTTGGTTTGGACACATAAATGTAAATTTTTTTGGGCGTTTAGAAGCAAGATCTGGTGTACCCAAACATCGTTGAGAAAATTGATTTAACAAAGCTTCAGGAGTTGGTAATAATGGCTCTAACATTTCTGGAATTGGTTCTTTTTCTTCTTTATCTTCTGCAGATTTTAAGATTTCAACTAATTCTTGTGCACGTTTTATTTTTTCCAAAGGATGATCATTCTTATCCCATAAAATTAGAGCTGATAATTGTTGTATACGTAAATATAAAGATCTTCCTTGTGATTCAGATGTAATTAAATTTTCTAAAAACATTATAGTTAAATCCACAATAAGTTGAATTTCTGGTTCTTCTAAAACCGAAATATGATCTAATAACGATCGTAATGCATCAGGATTATTTTCTAAGCAACTTTTTACATGATATAAACCATAATTATGATTAATAAGAGATAAAAGTATACGAAGTGTACTTTGTAATATTTCAATTTCAAATTTCGTGCTAGTTGCTAATATATCAATTAATACAGCTAAAATAGATAAAAGTGGTTCTTTACTTGGTACTGAATGTGTAAGTCTTTTTTCAAATGGCTCACTAATGTCTTCTTGCATAAGACTTAATGTATAATCACATAATGTTTCAAAGATATCAAGAATTTCATATTGTATTCTAATATCATTTGTATTTTTAAGTGCTGTGCACATCATTTCAATAACAGGTGGATATTTTTGATCAGATTTAACTTGTGCTCTAGATGCAGGGCTAGTTAAAGTTAACAAAGTAGCCTTCATAGGTGCATGTCTTGCAAGTTCACTAAGTAAAGTAAGAATTAGAACATTATTTTCTAATGGTGTAGCAGCTATTATACCATCTAATAAACATCTACCTACAAGTAATGCTGTAGGTGCTGCTAAATCACTTAATTGCTTACATACTTTTGAAAGAAGAATTAATAAATCTTTATTCCAACTGGCGCAAAGTAACCGCAATGTTTCAGTTAAATTATTAGCTTGTGCTTGTAAATGAGCAGACCATAATTTTCTAACACCTAAAATTCGAGTAGCATCTTCAGTCATTGTTTCTTTTAAAGTTAAAACTGGTGGTAAAAGTCTTGTTAAAAGTTTCAATCCTGGTATAAAATTACATGGACTTAAAGAAACCATTTTGAGAACTTCACCTAACATTTGCGTCCACAATGATTTTGCTACATTTCCTGATCCATCTGAATCCACAGCCTGTGTGAATACTAAAAGTGTTCCTACTATTTCTTCAGACAAAGTTTGGACAATTTGAATAGAAGGAATAGCTTCTACTAATGAATAAACACCAAGTAATGGTATCACAGCTGTTAAATCTTTGAAATCTGTAGCCATACATTTCACAAGACGTTCTAATAATGCTCTTGTTAATCTTACACATGGAAGAAGTAATGCAACTAATGCTAAACCTCTTCTACCTGTTAAAGCTGCACGATGTAAAAATGGTTGTTCATAAAATTCAGAAATATTTGCCATAACTGCAATAAGAGCTGTTAAGCCATCAGCAGCAAAAAGTTGAGTTAATGCATTTCTGTATTTTAATTCAATATAAGGTTCCATTGGATCTACATCATTATTTGAAGGAAAAACAAGATAATATAAAATTCTACATGCTGTAATTAATTGTCCTGGGAGATAAGCTGCTTTATCTGCATTTTTTCTAATGCATGTGACTAATGGAGAAACATCTCCATAATTCCAATGAGATGGCTGTGCAGCTGTAGTTAAATATGATGTAACATCTTTTAAAACTGCTTGAGTTCGTGATTTTTCTAAAATAATTGTAGCACGGTTTTGAAATATCTCTATTCGATCAGAATAACGAATTGTTGCTGAAATAATTTCTGCAGAAAATTCACACAGATTTGGATCAGAAAGATAAGGAATTAAAATATCAATAAATTCTCCTGTAGGAAGTATTGTTATTATAGCTTGTAAACCATCAGAATATATTAAAAAAGAATGAAGTTTTTTTAAAGCTATCCAATCAGAAGGTTGATATTTTAAATGTAATAAACATTGTACAACTTGCAGTCGCCAACCTAAAATTGATCCTGCTCCAGGTAAATCACATTTTAAAGCTTTTAAAATTAATTTGGTAATTTCTGGTTCTTTTAATAAATACAATAAACCTTCTTTAGTATCAGAAATACGTAAAAGAAAACGTCGAGCAGCTTTAATTAAACTTAAATCCGATTTTGGAGAAGTAAGAGCAAATAAAATATGATACAGCAGTTTGTGATACTCAAAATATGCTATTAAATGACATCGAGGATTTCGATTATATTCTCGTTCAAATTCCATTTGAGCTCCAGCTGGAAGTTGACGTTTTGGTTGAGCCATTAATGTGGGTGAACATATATATGTATTTGTTAATTCAATGATAGCCACTTCATCAATTTCTTTCATTTCATCAAGAAATTCATATGTATGTACTTTTCGTAATAATGAACATAATGCATATTTTAATCTTGCTAATTTTGCTGTATCTAACATCATTAAAGCATTTTTATATAAATTATTTTTTGATTTAAGAAACTCTTTAACAATTATTGGACTTATTAATGCAGCATCCAATGTACGAAGAGCGGAAAGTTTCACAGGAAGTGCTACATTTTCGCGCATGCACAATGCTAATAATTTATAAGGTGCATCTACTTTTAATAGTATTTCTGGACCTTGTGGAAGTTTACACAAAGTTTCCGCTAATCGTACACCAACTTTAACATGACGAACTTTATAAGCTGGTTGAGGTTGAGCACGAGCAAGATCCATATCTAAACCAGCATTTATAATATTGGTCAAATCATTAAAATCTGTATTAGTCAAATGAAATGGAGTAAGTATTGCACATAATGATTCGCAATTATGAACAAATGCCTCTTTTTCCTGACCTGAAGCATTATTAAAATGTAAAACTGATTTTGATATAGATTGAAATATTTCATGAATCTTATCCACCATTTCTTTGTTAATATGGTATTCTTCAGTGACATTCATTGATTCTTCTAAATCCAATAAATCAGGTGGTGTTAAAGAATAAATATTATTTAATTGTATATTTTCACATTCATATTCTGTAGTAGATGGTATATCATCTGCCATTATATCTTCATCAGATAATATAGGTTCAAAAGGCTCTCCTGTTTCATGATCACCACCATCTTGTTCTCCTTCTTCTTCTTCAGCAGATATGGATTCAGGACTTAAGGATACTAAAGATTCAGACGGAGGTGAAGAAGGACGTTTCGTAGATTTTAAAGTATTATTTGTAGCATCTTCTTCCCAATGACCCACTTCTGTCTTTCCAGTATCTGAGATTGAATTTCTGGATGATTCTACTATTTGAATTGGTTGTATAGGAGGAGGAGGTGTTGCAGCAACACATGTTTCCTGAAAATTCCATACAAATATTTTAAAATTAATGTTTTAAAATTAATTATAAATTGTATAATATATATATATATATAAAACATTTACATTTGAGTTTGTTTGTGCTTGATTTTCATAATACCACTCAGATTGTTGTTCTGATATTTGAGTAGTGTTTTCTACTTCTTCCAATCCAGTAACACAAGTTGTAGAACCAGCAGCTGAACTAACAACTTCTTGGGGATTATTTAAAGATTTTGTTAATGTTCCATATACTGCTAAAGTAATAGTAGTATACCAGCCCCTAAGTACTAATCCATCTGTTGGTATTTGTTTCCTTTCACATTCTAATTGAATATGAATATTTTGTTTATATTCCAATTCTCCAAGAGATTCAAATGTAGAAGCACCAGGCTTACTTAAATCATTTACAAAAAATTCAATTTCAAATTGAGATGGATTTGTAGCCCTGTATAATGTAAATATTATGTAACTTATTTAAAGAAAATTTTTTATTTTAATATATAATTTTTATTAATTAATTAATTAATTACCCTAGACGAACACCTCCAGGAAAATCAGCTTGTACTCTAGCACCTAATGGAATAATTCTAACTTCACTTATATAAACAGGTTTTGGGAATTGAACTAAATCTAAATTAAGCTCCTGCAATAAATAAATAATTCTATTGATGTAATTATTATATAAATAAAATAATTTTATACTTACTTCGGAAATATCATGTGAAAATGTATCAAAGAATAACAATTCCGTATTATCCATGTTTTAATTATTTTTATTTATTTTTATATTTTGAAACTGCATATTTCTAAAAAATAAAAATTATATTTATACATATTTATATAATTTAATAAATATATAATAAATTTAAATATTTTTTCTGTTTTTTTCAACTATTGTATATCACAATATATTTTAGTTTAATATGATTTATAATTTTTGTTTTTATTAAATCACATTTATTAATTATAATGTTTATATATATATTATTAATCAATTATAATAATTGAATCTTATATTAAGAAATTCTCGTTCTTACTTTATTAATTTTCGTTAATAATTAAATAATATTAAACTATATGAGGAATGTAAAAGAGAAACTTGAAAAAACTTTAACTTTTTGAAAAATCTGTATGCTTTCCATTGAACTACATGTATTACTTTTTTATCATTTTATAATATATTTATTTAATTCAAGTAACGCCATCTAGTTTAATTCTTAGCTTCGGTTTTACTCGTTTTACTTCATTATAAGAGAAATTGTAATGACTAATACCTGTGCAATTTTCGATACGAATAAATTTTTCTTTCTATTTTAAATTTTTGTCCGCGATAAAATTTAAATTTTATATATTTTATATTTACCCAATTTTAATAGATATTTTTTATATATATTTTATAAGTAGTACATTTATTGAATAACTGTGATAACGACATAACTGATCTGCGTCACTGGTTGTGTTCTTGATTATTTGTAAATTTGTTTTTTGAAATCGTGATACAGCTTTACAATGAAACAAAAGTTATATTAGATCAGTAAGTGTGAGGAAAATTTCTGTTATAATTCATATTGTATAATATTAGAATTTTGTAAACATTTTCAACATTGTTATTAAATTTGACAAATATAACGTTACCATTATCGATGAGATCTTTCAAGTTATACTTTGTAACAATATGTAGGCTTAAATTTCAATTCAAAATAGGTGAAAATTTTTGTTAATATTATTTTTAAATTCAATATTATGTATACATATGTTCTAACTCATGAGGAATAAATGAATTGTTATCAAAACGTTTACAATTATTATTTTTATTGAAAATAGCATATATAATATTATATTATTGAAAAATCATTAAATTTTTTAATTTTATTTTTATTTATTTCTTATATGATCTATACTTTTAGATTTTAAGAAGCTAAATATGTTTGTATATGTATAATAAAAATATTTTTAAAAATGTTAGATGTGATATTTATTTGGTTTTAGGAATGGTAGCTGTTGGAGCTACAGTTTTAATGGCAACTAGTGAAGAAACATCAAATAGAACACAAAATAATTCTATACAATATGAAAATCAAAATATTTGCTCTCACTATAATGAGATACATAATAATGAGCAAAATTCAGAATGTCAAATTAGAAAAAATATAACATCTTGTAATATAAACAGTAAGTATTTTAAATAAATAAAACCAAATAATAATAAAAATAATATAAATTATATAATAATATAATAATAATTGTATTTAATATAATTGTAATAATATATAATAATTATAATAATGATAAATATTTTTAAATCTCTTTCTTTTAAATTCTATATTATATATTTACTAATTTATATATATTTATAGACTATTATTATTGCAAAAAACAATTGCTAAAAAATAAAAAGTTCTATAAGATATATGTAATATACTTCAGTATAATAATTATAATTGTCAACATTTTTATAGAAAATAAAAATCGTAGCTCCATGTTGGAAAAAAATAGTCGGATGATTTCAAGATCAGAAAATAGGGAGAGTAATAAAAACTATACATTGTATAAAACAGCACCAGTTCGTGAAACCAAAGCTTCAAGATTACGTGCTGCTTCCATTATATCACCTAATGGTAAGAATTAGATTTTTTATTTATTTTTAATAAATTAATATAATTTAATATAATTATTCCTAAAGTTTATATTTATTATATTTATATAGGTGGAACAATGTCATCAAGAAGTTAACTATGTCTGAAAATTCTACACCTTTGAGTCTTCAACCTAGTACTAGTTTATCATTTAAAGATGTAAGTAATTATTTTATATTCATTTATATATTGTATGTATACATTATATTAATAATATGTCTCTATGTGATATACAATATATATTTGTATATAATGTATTATGTATATATATATATATAACAATGTTATAAAGGAACATCCAATATCAAATAATAGTAGTATTACAAATTTTCCACGAGAAAGAGATAAAAGTTATAAACGAAAATCATATTTAAATCGATCACTTAATATGGAAACAACAAAAGATCATTTAAATCAATGTAAGTAATTTATTGAAAATTATTTATTGAAAAATTTTACTTAACTAAAAATTTTACTTACATATTTCAGCTGAAAGTAATATTAAACAAACTAAAAGACAATCAAATAAACGAGACTACATATCTGATACAATATCTACTTCAAATTCTAGTAATGAATTTCAATCAACTAATTTAAGTAAAAAGTCCTTTGATTCAAAAATCACTTATGAAAAAGTTAAAGAAAATTATTCTAAAACTTATACATTGCCTTCACTTAATTCTTCTGCAAGCAGTAAACATTTAAATGTACAACGAATTAGGTAGTTATGTTTTTTTTATTTTATATATTGAAATTTGCAATTTTATTATAAAATTTAATTTTATAGTAGTGGTGGACATAGTGATTCAGAAGTTTCTCGAAGAGTTGATGCATTAACAGCATTAACAAAATCTGCAATAGAACGTGTAGAAAGACTTAAATCGCATGCCAATTTTCCGCCAAGTTGTGAATCACGATTAGAGAATCATTCATCTAATACATCATGTCAAATAATTTTTTCTTCTAATACAGAAAATAATATGCGTATATTGCAATTATCACCAAGAAAAAATTCTATTTTAAAAAAATCAAATGATGAACATTCTCAAGATGGATCTTTAAGTCATCAACATATACCGGTTTCAATTCTCAAACATAAAATATCTGATATTGATACTAGTCAAAATGTATCTAATACAATAAATCATGCAGTTTTGCCTGTAACATTTTCACCATCTGTTAGAGAACCAACACATAAAAGACATGGTATCTTAAAAAAGCGCAGTAGCTTAGATGAAAGTGAAATACTTCGACGGCGCAGTTGCTCACCTGACATTTCATCTACTGACAATATATATTCTGAATTTAGGCCAATATTAAAAAATCAGAGACGATCATCTTTAGATGAAATTGTTAAGAGGGATCAGAGTCCAGATCCTCAGCCTACTTCTATATTAAAACGAAAATCATCTAGAGAAGATGATAGAGAAGATCGTCAAATTAGTTCTACAGAACCACAGGGTATACTTAAGAGAAAATCTACAAATAGCCAACGAATAACTAATGTTAACCATCACATAACTATTACAATGGAAACAACAAATATGGGTAATCCTGAAATACTTGATAGTTCTGAGGTGAGACCAATCTTAAAAAAAAAACATAGTAGAGAAGAATCATTTGGTAGTGATCCTCCATCTTTAGAACCACGACCAATATTAAAAAAGAAATCGAGCACAGAATCAGATGAACATGACGATAAACCTAAAAAAACTATTTTGAAATGTACTCGAAAGAATTCACAAGATGAATGTAACTATGAAACAGAATTGACTTCGCCAAAAAAATTATCAATGCTTAAAAATCGTACTTTACAAAATAGAACGAGCGGAGTATTAGAAAATGATCCTGTACGACCTATATTGAAACAATCCAGCAATAGAGACAACGAATCACGAGTCCGTTTAAATCTATATGATGAAACAGTTATTAGTGATGATATGTGTATAGAACCATTAAATTTATTTTTGCGAAAAAGAGCACAATCAGTGGGTCATATTCAACCTTCTAATATTCCTAATGAATTTACTGGTGTACTTAATAAAAGAAGATCTCTTGAATTAATATCTGTGAATGCTATATCAGAAGAAAAATCACAACTAAAATTAACAACTAATAACACCTTAAAAACAGATCTTTCTCTGAATGATGAGAGTGCCAATACTTCTATTGTTTCTTGTGCCAAAATGTACAGGTAATATTAAAGAAATTGAAGAATTATTTTTATTTTTATTTTTCATGATTATTTATTATATTTTTAACTATTTTTATTTATAATGAAATATTTTTTATAAAATGAAATATTTTATATTTTTTAAATACATTTTTAAATTAAAAGTTTATAATATTTTTTTTCTGAAAATATTATTTTACAGATAAAATAATTATTAGAAAATAATTATGCTAGAAATTTTTATTAATTTGAAGTTTTTACTTAATATACAAAATATATATTATATTCTAATTCATTTATTATTATTTATTAATATTTTTGATATATGATATCTTATACCAAATATTTGTTTGTGTTTAGTCTGTATAGTTATACGTAACTTTGGCAAGATATTGAATCTGTGCCAAGTTTAATTATAGATCACCTAACAATTCTAAAAGCTTCAGAAAACAGAGAATCAGAGCATGCACACAACCTGTATGTCTATCTAAAAGTTTTGATTTAAGATAGTATTTTCAATACTTTTTTTTTGAATTCATTTTATAAATTATAAAAGGTATTAAATTTAAGATTTTTTCTTTTTAATGATATTTTACACATCTTACTTATCTGCATAAGATAAAAAACATATTATAAGAAATATTAAATAAGAAAATTTTTAAATTTAAATAATATTAATAGTTTATTAATATTTCTATATTGTTTGTAAATATTGTTATATTATTATATTTTTAAATTGGGAATCATAATAAATCTTACATTACAAGATTTAAAATAATATTATATTATTAAATTTTATAATTTATATATATTATACAAATAATAAATTATATCAATATAATAATAATATTCATTTAAATTTTACAAACATTTTAAATTAATATTATATTCAATTATAGCACAACAAAAGAAAAACTTACAGAGAAGGAAAATCAAACTACAACAGTATTTGAAAGTGAAGAAAAAAGTAGATTGAATTCACATGAACTTCTTGTAAATAGTAATAGTAGTGATAATAGTAGTTCTTCAGTTTTTAATAGAATGAATGATAAAGAATATTTAAATAATGAAACACAGTGTTTACAAGAAAAAACAGATGTTGAAAACATTCAAGAAGGTAATGATGTGCATCATACCAACAGTGTTTCTAAAATGACGTTGCATTTTAAAACTTTACAAGAAAAAGCAAACTCTAAAGAAAAAGGTAGCATGTCCCAAAAAATATCGAGCAACACTTCACGTAACATACAACGATATAGAGAACGAAAGAATCAAGGTAACGATAGATTTAATACTCAACCAGTAACTTTTCAAGAAGTGCAAGAAGCAGTTTTACAAAATCAACGTAATGCTACTACATTAGTTAAAAAATCAAGTTTGGCAGAAAATAATATAACTACAACTGATGACGAATTTGATCCTTCTAAATTAAGTTTAGCGGAACGAGTACGTTTATTCAATAAAAAAATTGATACTGAAAAATGTTCAAATAATTTATCATTGGAAAAATATTCACGAAGACGGCCGGCTGCTCGTTATAAAACACAACCAGTTACATCGAAAGAAGTTGAAGTAGCATCTCGAATATCTCCATTGAATACTATTAATCAATGTCCATTAAATACTGGTAAATTTTTTATTTTACTAAAAGATACTTTTAAGTGATATAAATTATTAATATTTTAATTATTTTTAAAGATGATTTACCAAAAAGCATTTTAAAACCTGTTGCATTACATGTACATAATACATTGCAAGAGAAAAGTTCTGAACTCGAAGGAATGAAATTAATAAAATCTGTACTTAAAAAAGAATCTGAAGAATTAGAACAACAAACACTTGAAAATTTTAATATTTCATCACATTCTATATTAGAATCTAATATGGAAAAAAATAAGGTAAATAATAATATTTGAATAACAAAAATTAAAAATTTAATAAGAATATAATTTTTAAAGTAAGATATTATATACAGATAAGAAGTATAATGGAAAATAATTATTCATCAGAATATGATTTAAGTTATGCCTATAATGAAAAGGATAATCATATAGAAGATAGACAACATAAAATTAAACAAAAATATCCAGTGCCTTTTCACAAATGTAATATTCAAGATGAATTAAATAGAAAATTCAAATCTAAACCACATAACATAGATAATGTTCAAACTGTAATTACTACTAAAAAATATGAAGAAACACTTCATACATCTGGAAATAAGATATGTACTCTAAATCAGGAAACATGTAGCACAAAAGATGAAATTGTATCTTCTAATCGCCATCCTATATTTTCAAAACATACCAGGTAACATATTTTATATTAATTTATTGAATTATTTAAATAAAACATAATTTTATAATACTAATAATGATTGTAAGAATGATATAAATTATAAGAATATTTATTATAATTTTTTAATAAAGTACGTTTTATCAAATATGGCATCGCATGATGAACGTTTTAATTATTGCTACAATTACTAAACAATGATAAGATTATATTGTGTAAAAAAGCATGTATATAAACATATGTGTATTATAATTAACTATTTATAGGTATAATCCACTGTTAAAGAGTATCAGTCATCACGCGATTAACAACAAAACGAATGAAAATGAATCAAATAGTGCAACAACAGAAAAGCAACATGGTGTATCTCTTCCAGGATTATGCCGTAGCATAACACAAACAATACACACAATTGATACTAATGATGGCCCAAGTATGAGTATTGCAGAACGATTAGCTGCATTACAACGCAGCGGAAATACAAATTGGAAGCGACGTATAACTTCTGAACATAGCTCATCTAATTCATCGGTAAATTACTTTAAATAATTTTATTGTAAAATCAAAATATTTTGCAGTATTTATTATCATTAATTAAAATTGTTAGGATGGAATATGTTCCAATTTATCAAATAAAGAAGAATTGAGTATCAAGCAAGGAGTGCTTGCAGATTGTCTTGGAAAGTTAGAATCCGCAACAGAAGGTTGGAAAAAAAGAATAGCTGTTACAGATGTAACAAAGTTTACAGTAGCTGGCAAAATGAAAGTAGAACAACAGGAAAATTTAGATCCAGGACCATCTTCACCACTTATTGAAGTTACAGGAAATATTATAGATAGAAAGAAGAAAACTCCTCGTCCTGAAAGATTTAGAACAAAAAAAGGTAAAATTATTTACTTATTTAGATATTTTTAATTATTTTTTCAAATTTAAATTTCTACACATTAAAAATGCATTTTATTTTTAGGATACAAAATGGATGTTATGTCTATGCCAACTAGTCCAAACAAGGATTCATATATTAAATTACGAGGAAGTTTCTCTGAACCTACAAGTGATGATAGTGGTTAGTGAAAAATTATTTTAGAATTATTTTTTTTTTGAACAACATTATTTAAAAATATATTTCATAGCTGAAGAATTGAAAATGGGAAAGAATGAGTTACCTGTTGTCTCAATACCTAAGATAGATGACGAAACATTCACTTCTTTTTTTACTGGAATTTCATTAGAAAAATGCGAAGCTGAATCTGTTGATTTAAATGAAAGTGATTTTGATATAATTACATCGCAATCAGAATTGTAAATTTTTCTTTCTTTATTAGTACTAATACTAATTTATTAAGCAAGTTTTCATAGATTTATATTTTTATAGATTAGTTCAAAAACGAATATACGATTGAAACGACGACGTATTATGTCTAGAAATCCACTTAAAACGCTTGCAGCTCGTACTGATTTGAAATCAGAGTATACTGAAATCCGGACTGGTATTGCAGAAAAAGTAATGAAGCAATTAAATGTTGAGAAACGTAAGTTTTATCAAATTTTAAAATAGTATAGATACAGTAAATACAGTTGCTATAATATTATGTTATTGCAATATTATATTATTACAGTAGCTAAGAATTCATCATTAGCTATGGAAGCACTAGCTGGTCTAGCTTCTACTGAAGACTTTAGTAATATAACACTAAGGAATATAGCAGAAACAAATATTTCTTCAAATAAATTACAACCATATAAAGATTTAATGTTAATTTTAATTAAAGGCAGAAGACATGTACAAGTGAGATTAGTTGAACCAGTCGCGGAGAGTATAAATAGTGGTGATAATTTTGTTTTAGTAACAAAATCAGAGGTTATTAAAAGAATTATTATATATTATTTTACAAAATTTATTTATAAATATTTATAAATGTATTTTATTAATTAATTTTATTAATTATTTATAAATGTATTTTATAATACAGAAATAGAGAAGAATTTTATATTTTTAATTTAGGTTTATAATTACATTGGAAAATATTGTAATGTTATTGAAAAAGCACGAGGTGCAGAAATTGCAATGAGTATTCAACAAAATAAAGATCTTGGTTGTCAAACATCTCAAGTTATTATTATTAATGAAGATAAAATAACATGCACAAAAAGTCAACTACAAAAATTTTGGAATTATCTTGGTATAGAAAATGATAATGTGGATGGTAAAATAGCATCTTTTTTATCATATATGAATCATATATTAATATTTTATAGAACATTGATATCATTATATTGATAACAGTTATTGATGGCGGACATCCTGATGAAGATGAACTTTATGAAACATTTATGATAGATACAAATATGGTATATGAAATTAAAGATGAAGAATTAGTACCACTTGAAAAATATTGGGGTATTATACCAAAAATTGAAATGCTTGATCCAAATAAGGTATATATTTCAGTATAATATAATATATATGTGTGAAACAACTTTGGAAGATCAATTCTAGAAAACAAATATAAAAGTTGATATATAAAAAATATATAAAAATGTTGATTGAAACTTATTAATTAAGTTATTAAATTATCGTTTCATTTAATATAAACTTATTCCAACATTTCTGTTTGTTTTAATATTTAGAATTGATCTATGATTTCTGTTTGTTTTAATATTTATAATTGACTCCAAAAATATCCACGAATATATTAACATCTTGTATATTGTAGTTAATTTAATTATAAATAATTACATTTTTGTATTTAGGTATTAGTATTTGATTTTGGCAGTGAAATGTATATATGGAGTGGTAAAGGAGCTTCAACTGATAAAAAGAGACTTGCTACACATCTTGCTACAGAAATGTGGCAAGAAGGATATGATTATTCAGAATGTACTGTGTGTCCAATTAGTGCGGCATCTATGATTGGTAGACGCACTATATCAAAAGCAGATTTAAAATCTGCTAAAGTCAGACCTAAATGGTGTTTACTTGCTAAGTTGACACAACATGTCGAAACAATACTTTTTAGGGAAAAATTTCTTGACTGGCCAAATGTTTCTGGTATAATACGAGTTCGAGGTATTAAAAATGAAGAACATGTTGATGGAACTGTAACTATAGAAATGTGCAATATTAATGTTCTATTAGAAGAATGTACTATTCCAGTTGATTTAGTTCTTGAAGGAACTCATTTAGGAAGAGGTACTGGTTGGTATGATAATGAGGTAATAATATGTTATTATTATTAATTAATAATATATTATTTATTTAGCATATAAAACAAATTATATAATAAACTAAAATATAGCTTAAATATTAATAAATAATCTATATATACATTTTCGATAATTATTTTTCAGCTAATGAAACAATTTATTGTTACAACAACGGGTGTAAAAGTATGGCATATTGATGAATTTTCACATACTCTTTTGGATGATTCATCTGTTGGACAATTTTATTCTGCAGATAGTTATATTGTATATTGGATGTATTCTGTTACAATTACTGGTATATATTAAATATATTTCATTTTAATCTTTTTTTAAAATTTGTTATAATGATGATATTATATTATTAAACTATATTATTTAGGCCGTGAACTTAGTGGTTTGCCGTCAAAACATTCTGCAAAGGGTCGTGATCGTTCAGTATATTTTATTTGGCAAGGTCAAAATGCGTCTTTAAATGAACAAGGCGCTGCAGCATTATTAACTATCGAATTAGATAATGATCAAGCACCTCAGGTAAATTATCAATGTAAATTAATGATATTATTCAAATAAATATTTTAAATTTCTTATAGCTTCGTGTAGTTCAAGGACACGAACCAGCAGCATTTTTGAATTTATTTTCTGGAGGAATGATTGTACATAATGGCAAAAAAATGAATACAAAATGCGATGAACGATGGCGATTGTATATATGTCGTGGTACTTTAGAGTCAGAGGTGTCTTTAATAGAGATTCCTTGCAGTACTCGTCAATTACGAAGCAGAAGTTCTCTTATATTATTAGATACAAAAAATAAAAAAATCTATGTGTGGCATGGATCTAATTCATTACCTCATATAAAAAAAGTATTCTTTTAAAATATTATAATGTATAGATAAATTTTAATAAAATATTCTTTGTTTCTTTAAAATTAAAATTTTTAATATATATGTATGTATTATTATATGTATTTTCAGAATGTAATTAATGCTGCTGCTAAATTGAAAAAAAATCGACCTCGGGAAACAGGTTTAACATTTGAAGGCAATATAGAAATTTTTGAAATTGATGAGGGATTGGAACCAGAAGAATTCATTAATGGTAAATAAAAATTTCTATTCAATATTACATTTATCTGACTTATTATCAAGATAATAAATAAAATATTTTATCACATAGCATTAGGACAAATGAACAAAAAGCTGTATGTTTCATTAGAAAAAGATCAAATACAAGAACATACTCCAAGATTGTTTCATTTATCAAGCATTTCTAAAGAATTTAAATCTGTAGAAATATTGTGTCCGCATCGTGCTTCTTTGCCAACTCCATTTCCTTTTCTACAGGAAGATTTATATCAAGCTCATCAACCAGGTAATTTATATTTTATTATTTTAATAAAATGATTTTTTAAAAAAATTCATTATATTATTATAGCTTTGTTTTTATTGGATAACAAAAATGAATTGTGGATATGGCAAGGGTGGTGGCCTAATATCGGAGCAGAAGATCAATCTGGTAGTAAAGCAGTTAGATGGCAAGCTGAAAGAAGAGCAGCCATGACAATGGCTATGCACTATTGGCAAAAAATTCATCCAGAGATTAATAAATATCCAATTTATCTAGTCTGGGCTGGTCTTGAACCTTTGCAATTTATAAATTTATTTCCTACATGGATATACCGTGATGATATTGCAGAATTGAATATAGAGGTATTTTTAGATTTTTCAAAATTATTAAAGTTTTATATAATTTAAACAAATAATTTGCAATTAGGATGGTCGAAATCCTGGAGAAGTATTGACTGTGGAGAATGAATTAGTTCGATTGACACAAAGTACATACCCTCCGGCTCAATTATTACAACGACCATTACCAGAAGGAGTTGATCCTACACACCTAGAATTGTATTTATCTCAGCAACATTTTCAAGTACGTTTTATAAATTATTAATAATAAATAAATTTTACAAGAGATAATATATATTTTATATATTCTAATAGGAATTGCTAGGTATGACTAAAGAAGAATTTCAAGAACTTCCAATGTGGAAACAAGTGAACCTTAAAAAAGAAATAGGACTTTTCTGATGAAACGTCCAGACTGCCGATTCTACGAAAAATAGCTGCCCTTGTAAAGCGATTAATAAAGTTTTTGTTAATTGTTTTATCATGTTTATAACTTTAAATTTTTTAATTTCTCAGTATATGAATGCCTATTTAAGATGCCTAAAGTTGCCTATTGATAAAAGAGAAACTAATATTATTATACAATTAAAGATATATTTACTACTATTTCAAATATAATATATACTACATACATATGTGTACCTGTGCGTGCACGAACATAAATAGGTGATTATATATTTTTAATACATACTAAACATAAATTGGCTTGTGAATATTTCCTTTATATTTGTATGGGTTTTATATTCAATGATAATACAATGTTTTAGAATGGCTTATTCTTACATGTGTAATATTTGTACAAGAGTGACTGTATTCTTTACAACATACTCCATGTTTTTGAACAGTATTCAATGAAATTTCTCAATGTTGTCTTAAATTTTATTTCATAGCCTTTTGTAATCCTTAAAATATTGCATGCGTTAAATTCAAGAAAAATTATAAGTTCATTTTATTTAGAACAATCCTTTTCCAAACTTGTGTATACTAAATTATGTTATCATATGTATACATTATTTTTAAATGATTTTATTTTACATTTTTTTTATATATTTATGATTCATGTGATATAGTAGTAAAATAGACCATTCATACAATGTTATAATATAATTTAATTATCTTTTGACATAAAATATATCCAATGTGAATGCATCATTAAAGTCAATTCTACAAATATATATAAAATACTTATGTATACTATATGTCGATATTTAAAATATACATAAATAATAATATAAATAATATAAGTTATTTTTTTAATTAAATTGTAATGATGCATGTTATTAACAAACAGAATAAAAATTATTTGAAAACAATTTGACTTATTTAAGCTTTTTTTAACTTTTTTTAATTTTAAGTCAATATTAGTCTTGTACTTTTTCAGAGTATAATTAAAAATATCTTTTTCTATGTCTATTTGTTCTTATCTTTTTATAAAACGATCAAGGCACAATATCATATCAAATATAAAGAATCATACATTATTTTTTAGTGTACAATTAAAAATTACATTCTGTTCAAAATTTATTGATGTGTATGCAAAGAACACAAATTCACCCCATATGATCATTTTTTTATTTTATTTAATAGTAATAATAATCTATAGAAAATCCATACATATACATACTAAATGAGATGTATAATAATATCGTTTTGGATAATATAATTAATTATGCATTTTATAAAAGATATACATATTGAAAGTTATATATTAGTATATGTTATATCATATATATATTTTTTTCATTTACTCTTTTTTTAAAATCTTTTATATTTTCTTTATTTTTGATTTTTTTAACAAATTAAATATTTTTTAAATAAAGCATAATTTAAAAATTATTCAAAACGATAATACGAAATATCTCATTCTGTATGTAATCGCGTATGTATAAATTTATAAATCTAAATCATTTAATATTAAAATAGTTCCATTTGAATAATTGATTTTATATTTTTAATGAAAGATAATCGTGCGTGATTGATGTTAAATGATACACCAGCTGTGACTTCTTTTTTCACGTTAATGTTTTCCAAACTAATTATCTTGTTACTAATCTTCGAATCCAATTTATAATACTAGGTGTGTTGGAATATGACGTTAGTACTTCCATTCAAAATCATTGGGCATCTGTAGCATATAATTGAATTTTTAATATATTTATTTTATAAACATTTTTGAATAAATTTCCTGTTAAATGTTACAAATCAAAATATTGAAGTATTTTAATATCTAATTGTCTATAATTATTTAGAAAATATTTTAATCAAACTCATTATTATATTAATATTCCGATTAATCATTAATAATATTATAATATTATAATTTTATGTTTTATACAATGTTTAATAATAAATGATAAATGTAAAAACTAACTATAAAACAATTCCCTTTTTTAAAGAAATAATGTATTGTACAACTTCATATACAAATTATATATAACAAATGACAAACATGTATTTACACATTACGTATTGCTATATTATAAAATTATTACCGCTATATATAATACTTCGATAAAATAATTATCTCTTTCATGTTTGAAATTCTTGTTATTTGTTTTCTATTATATAAATTACAAATAACTAAAAACAGATGTACAGATGAAAAAATGGAATATTACCATTTCAATATTTATTGGACTTTTCCATCAATGTATGCCTTCATGGCAGTTTGACATTCTACAGAACACCAATGCTGAATTAGCAAATATGTTTCTGATTCTAATGCCGCATCCAATTTTTTTCGCAAACTGTGACGTAGTAATGCTTTTGTAGCTTCCATAGACTGAAAATAAATAAACAAAATATTAAATAGTAATTTAAAATACACATAAAGATATAGAAAATTCTAGATATATAATATAAATATTAATTAGTTTTATATATATAATTAAAGTAAAAGTGCAATGATGAATCGTTTTATTTTTATTTGTAATATAAGATGTCTATAAATTAAGTTTAATTCAAATATAAAAATGTTTATTTTAATTTATTTTAATAATAAATTTTGTGTTACTAATAATAATTATTTTAGTTCTTGTATTATAATTAGCAGTAAAATCAAATGTTACATTTAAATATAATTAAATATATGTATTAATTAATTACTTGTATATAATTCACTTATTAATATCAAATAAAATTCATCTGTTTTACTTACAATAAATTATACATAAAGATATATGTAAAAATAATGCAAAATATATATTAATTTTATATTATATTTAAATTTTATTAAAATCTAAATTTAAGAATTATATTGTTTTTCTTTTTATAGTTCTATATTCTAATGACAAAATTAAATACATATAAATATAATTAATATCAATAAAAGTTTATGATAAAAATAACAGAAATAATTTTTATCTTATACCACATAAAACATTATCTTATATCACTTTGAACTGTAATTGCTTAGAATCATGTTATTGGAGGCTTCAAAAATATACATATAAAAAAAAATGATTTTATTACACAAACATTTAAATGTTTAGATTTATTATTATTATAAAAAAATATATTAATACAAATATTTCGAAAAAATTTACTTTTTTATTTTATTATTTTTTTTTTTTATATAGAAAAAAACATGTGATATTTATGAATTTTGTAGATAAATATAATCTGATTATACTTAACATTATATTATAGATATACTTTTCCAGAAAATCATTTATATATTTTTAAAAATAGAAATAAAAAAAATAGATTAGAACTACTTTATTCTGATCTACTTACAAAGGTTATTATTTTCTATTTAAGAATTCATGATATTTAATTTCAGAAACAACAATTTTATTAAATATAATATTCATATTTAAAGAATGATATCATATGTTATAAAAATTAATAAATATATTTATACATACCTGTGAGGATTGTTCACTCATAGCTTTTAAAGTTGGTAATAATTCAACTTGAAATTTATCAGGCCATAAAACTCGAGTAACAAGACCAGCTCTTAATGCCTCACTAGCTGTTAGAGTTCTTCCACCTAGCAATAACTCACTTGCCTGCAATTTTAATTAAATTTGATTTAATATATATATATTTTAAAAATCATATTATATCATAAATAAATGTGATATTTTTATGTATGATATATTATACTATAATGATATAGTATTATATAATATTATACTATAGTATACATAATATTATATTATAATAATATAGTATTATTACATACATATATATACTTACAATTGCACTTCCTAATATATGTAATAAAGTAAATACAGCAGCACCTTCAGCAATTTGTCCTAATTTACCATAAGGTGTACTGAATGTGGCTTTATCACTAGCTATCACAAGATCAAATAAAGGCAACATTGTTACCCCCAATCCAATTGCAGCTCCTTGAACTCCAGCAACGATAGGTTTATTAAATGATGCTAGGCTTTTAATAAAATCTCTAAAAATATAAATAACATAAAATTTTTTAAATAAATAAATATAATTAAACATATAAATATATAATTTTTATTATAATATCTACATACTTAACAGCATCTGCCATTTCTTGGGCATGAATCCGTCGTTCTTCTTTATTTGTATGTAATAACATAGATAATTCAAGACCTTCGCAAAAACTACTACCTGTAGATGTTAATAAAACAACCCTGCAATCATCATCTTTTTTTAGAATAGATAATATTTCGCGAAATTCTTGCATCACCTAAAAATAAAAAAAAAAATGCTATTATATAAATACAAATATATAGTTACAATAGAATAGAAAATATTAATTAGTTCTTTCATAATTTTATTACCTGTATAGTAAGAGCATTTCTTATTTTTGTTGAAGATGATGGTGTAAGTATTAATTGAACAAGATTTCCGTGTCGACGAACATTTATTTCTTTATTACTAAATTGACTTCGAGTTTCTACTTTTATTTTATTATTATCCATTTCTTGCATCTTAGTAATATTTACATTTACTGAAATAATAATATATATAATTTTATTGAATATTTCATTATTTTACATAAGATTATTATTATTATCATAATTTGCTAAAAATATAAAATTTTTTTATAAATTTTATAAATACAAAATGTTTTTAGTTTCTTGAAATCATTTTCACCTTTATTTTTGCGATTTGTTGTTGAATTTGCAGATCGACTTCCAGCATTTACTACTGATAGAGCATTTGCAGCTTCTGCAAGACAGGCTGAAAGTTCATCTTCTTCTTTGGAAAATTCTTCATTATCATCTGGTTCATTTGCTTTGGCAAATGTAACTTTACTTTTTGCAGTTTTTTTTGTCTTTGATGTTACCTTACATGTAGCTGTACCATTTGATCGTGTAATAACTTTTCCTAAGCCACTATTACTTTCATCTGTTTCTTGTGGTTTTGAATTTTTGTCAGTTTTTTTTGAATCTAACTTTTTAAGACGTCCAGGAAGAAACATTTTGTCTTCTTCGGTGTCAACAAAATCTATTCCTGTATCATTTTTTTGTATAGTTTTTTTTTTACTTTTTTTTAGATTTATTTTTTCATCTTGTGAATGTCGTCTTTTTGTAGATCTCAAAGAATGAGAGATTTCATCAACTTTGATTCCTTCATTTTTTTCTGAACTATCAATACTAACTCTAGGACTTCCAGATGCACTGGAAAATGAACTAGATGAATGTCTCCTAATTATAATAGATGCATCTGCTGCATTTCTTATTTTTGCAGGTAAGATAAATTCTTGAGACGTTAAATTTATTTGTTTTGTTGATACAACTTGATCTCCAATTTTCTTATCTACCTGCATATCATTTAAATATATAGAAGCTCTTTTGGATCTTGGAGAAACTTTTGATACATTTCCTGTTGAAGTACGTAATCTCAAAACAGCATTACGTACTAATTTTTTTCTAAGTT